CCCCAAAACCCCAAAACCCCAAAACCCCAATCCCAGTTTTATTTTTTGAATTAGATAAAAATACAAATTCAAATCAATTTGGAAATGATTATCAAGATTAAAATAATGCTAGCATATATTATTATGAATTTCTATCATTTAAGATATCATATGCTCATTTATTCAAGCTTTTCTTTGTCAAAGGTAACAGTAAACCATTTGGTTTCTCCATGGCCATTAAAACTTAAATAATGAGAAAGGGTAACTTTATCTCTTTTACCAGTTTCTCTCCTAAAGTGTATTTCTATGGGTACTTCAAAAGTTCCCCAGCCTATCTTTGTCATTTGAAAAGGCTCTTATTAAACAGTTTATTCTGTAGCTCCAAACGTCGGGTGCAATCCAAACTTCACCTTTGAAATAAATTTCTTAGCTTCATTGCCTATTATTTATCCTTATGATTTAACTATTCTGACGAATACTGTCCAAGTATGTTTATTCTCAATTTCTTCACCTAGGTGCTGACTGTTAAGCTTTTTGGGATTAGGGATCAGTTTATGGTCATTTCCATACATAAATTTAACTTTTACCAAGTTTCCTTCAAGCAAACCTTACTATTTAAGTTCTTCATTTCTTTCTTCAAATTTCTATGGGTATTTCAACTTGATCTTACTCTGAAGGTCTGTATCAATCTGAGGTAGATAATTTTACTAAAAGTCTTAGCGGCACATTGGACATTAAGTTTTATTCATTATTTACTAGTTGATGCACTGTATACAGAATATATGTTTGCAAGGAAGTGTGCATGGCTCAACCATAATAAGAAAACATATGTAGCATTCATGTTAGGGCCCTGTACTTTCCATATTTGTTGGCTTTCCACTTAAAATTTAAGACTTTAATAATTTACTAGCTAATGAATCTTAAATTTGAACTTATATATTTTTATTAAATCACATGGATTTCTATGAAATTCTATAATTTTGCTATTCAGATACTTGGGGTTTTGGGGTTTTGGGGTTTTGGGG